CTTTTATCACCCGTTTTGATTCATTTTTCTGTCTACATAAGATCACAGGAGCAGCCTACGAATACCCGATGACATGCCTGGGTTGTGGATCTGAGTTACAAAAACGGCAGTCACACTGACACCAGTACTGCTGAGCTAACCAGATGCTTTCTTTGCACTAGTGCTATTCTTGTCTTTTCCAGTTGACTCGAATGCAGTCAACTGTCTTCCACACCCATCTCATCTAGATGTCTACACATTCTGCCAGTTAATACTGTTACTGTTCTCTCTGTGAAACAGGAATATTTATTCTTTTTAACCTATAGATCTTATTTTATAATAGAAGTCATGCACAAAGTTATACTATTCTTAAACAATTCTAACTGGGATATCAGGAGCTCAATAAAAGAATAACCAGTGTAAAATCTTGTTTCTTTTTGGCTGAAGATAGCTGCCTAAAGAGTGGTAGAACAGCAAAATTCCAATTTTAATTGCTGTTATTATACATTTAACTTAAGTGCCAACATTATTCTCTAGTTTGCAGCTATGTCTGTGTTCACTTTTAAAGATACTTAATTTATATTTTAATTGTTGCTTTTCTCATTTACCCATATAAGCTTTTACTTTATCAAAAGGATCTTTAGGGTATTACGGCTGTATATTTTCAATTTTTAATATAATAATACTTAATGCTATCTAGCTAATATTTTCAGCCATTTGGACCTCTTGATTCTTCCTGTCGCCTTCAGATGAATTCCTCTGTCAAAGAATTGTATTCAGTGCCTCTTTTTTTCTAAAACCCTGCACTAAGCCATGCGTCTGACCCAAACAGCTACGTGCTTTCAGTAGGTTCTGTATTCCATCTGCCTGCCAGCCTCCTGCATCAGCTGGTAACCTAGCTATTTTTAGGACTGTGAAGCTTTTGAGCTGCCTAACATATTAGCAGGAGTGGAGTTCAGACTTGCTAGCTTGAGCATCCCTAAAAATAACACTAATTCAGGAATCTAGTCGTACAGTTAGGAGGTGCCAGTTGTTCCTGAAGTGTCCTTACTCTTGGCAATTCTCCATCCTGCACTTACTCAGAATGCATAAGGGAAGAAATGTACCAAAAAATCCAGAGGGAGATCAGAAAGACAGCTACTGCTGCAGCTATAAATACACCTCACGCAGATGCCCAGGCCTGATTTATAGTTTGCAGGTGCTCTGTGGCATTTCAGAAAGTACTGGTTGGTGCCAAGTAATTGATAAATGTAGATGTGCAAGTTTCTGCACAGACTGGGTTGTATTCGGAGAGACTGGTAATCTGGGGATGTTTTCTGAAGAGAAACACTGATATTTCTGCAGTACCCCCCCAACAGTGGTAACTCTGCCTGCACTGCCTTTCCACGTGCATGCTGATGCCTGACTCATAGCGCATACCTCGCATCCTTTAGGGCATACCTACACCATGTCACGTCTCATGGTGTGGAGATCCCAAAGTTAAACATGACCGAATGGGTTCTGGAAGCAGTACAGCCATTTCTACATGGGAGAGTAATTAGTCCTGAGGAAAGGCAGGGATCGCTAGCTCTGCACTGGGTGATGCTAGTGCATCACTTTCAGGAGCAACCATTCTACGCCGTGCAAACACACCAGCATGGTCGGAGCCAGCCCTGGCTTCTCAGAGCCATTTTCTATTGTCTGTTATGTCTTGGCACTTAACTGAGTTGTCAACAGCTAAATTATTTCCACAAAGTTGCACTTCCTCTTCTGAAAAGCATAAATGATTTATGTCAGAACTTTATTATACTGTACTCAAAAGAAGGATTAAGATACTTTGTAGTGGACAAATCGGAAAGCATCTCTAAGCCGCGTAGTTCATATTAAAACATTGTCACATCTTTCTTTCATACCAGTATACAGGGAGCTGAGTTTATAAATAAGTACTGCTTGCTGCAAGCACAATATCAAAGGATGTAAGTAGGGCAAAGTTTATAGAGAGGTTAACAAGTTCTTTTAAATTTTCTAACGTAATAGAGGGGGGAAAGGGCAAGCTTCTGGGTGCATAAATTAGATCTTCAGGCCTTCGAGCTTCTGTTGCTACCCTGAAAAAGGTTTCTGTGCCACCCTTCTCCTTTATTATTAGGCATAATTATTGACACACTTTATTAACATCACATTAATTCACACCTGTACAAATAAATAGGCTCAGCTAAAGGAGTGACTTGTATGCCTGCCAAGATCTCAGTCTAAATACATGTAGCTGGGAATCACTTTCCTTATCTGTTATGTTCAAGGCAGAATTCATTCATGCAGTTTTTATCATGAGTATAAGTGGGTGCAGATCCTCTATAATAAACTGTAAACAGAACTTTTTACCATTAATCTTATGTTGTGTTTTGTGGCTAGCTCATTTGTGAAGAAAAAAAAAAAATGGTTCTTTCCACTCTGTTACTTTTTGTTGCACCGTATGCTTGGCCTTTTGTTTTCCAAAGGGCTCCAGTCATTAGTAAGAAGGACAAACATGTAATTAACACTAGGGCTGCCATTACCAGAGGTACTCTGAGTTTATGCTTTTAAAATGGTTACAATTTCTAGGCACTACGGTAGTATACATTTTAAAACCTTAGCTTATATGATAAACTGAGAAGAGGAACTACGTTCTGCACGTGCTAATACTTCTTTTCACAAGTACACGCATGTGTTGCTTTTCTTGGTGTTTGGTTTGGTTTGGTTTGATTTGTCTTTCTTACAGTTAGTACGTAGTAAAAGGCAATTAGAAACTGCCCCCTGTGAATCAGAAGTCCTACACAGAGTTTCATCAGCACAATAACTTCCTTTTACTTCTGAGGGCACTTTACATGTGTCTAATACAAATCTGTGAGCAATGTCACTCCGAACTACTGACAGGCTGACTTAAACCTGTGTCAAACTCCCCATGAACACAGGCCCCCCAGAATTAAATATTATTTTTCCAATATTCTAAGGCCTGACTGTTTTCTGTTGTTTTTGTTTGTTTGTTTTTCTTCTTTCAGGTATGAAGCTAAATTTCGACAAAAGCTTCTTGAATACACAGATTCCAACAACATTGCTTCCCTTTTCCTTACAGCTGCTAATCGATGGCTAGAAGTTCGCATGGCAAGTATTATTTATTTTTTTTTGTATACACTGTGAATTGATTTAACTTCATTCCAAGCAATCTGATGAATTTACCCATAGTTATCCAGCCTCATCTGTGTTCTGAGGCTATACCTTTGCCATGGATGGATGGATGGATGGATGGATGGATAGATAGATAGATAGATAGATATCTGTACTGATCATATGCCCAAACCATCCAGAAAACTGAATGCAGTATGAATTTTTCCTGTAGCCTGCAACTGTTCCTCCAAGACAGGAATAATTATTAAAGGTCATATTTCTTCCTTTGTGCATGGAGGAGCGATCAGAGAGTTGCTCTGGCTGTGTTGCCAGCCAGAATGCATTTGTGAGACTGTTAGCCACTGCAGGCCTTTGTGTTGTCAGTCCCCCAGGAACATTTCAACATCGCAGAAGCTCCCTTAATAAGCAGAAGGATGCAGACAGGTTTTTGCCTGTTTTGGGTCATCTGAAGGATGCTAAACATACTCAGTTGCTCATTTCCTCAGAATGCTTAGAAAAATGGACTGGCATAAAATAATATTTAATAAATATAATTATTTGAAATTCAGTCAAAGAGTTTTATCTTGTAGATGATGACGTTTGTACCAGGCTTTGATAGCTACAGGTGCAGTACTGCTGCTAATGGTAATGTGGGCTCTTTTTATGTGCGCTCAGAGTAAGTCACAGTTTGTGTTACTCCACCTCATTTTGGACTCCATGTTAGCTGATGTCTTTTGCTACTTGAATTCTGCTAGTGAACATAATCAGATTTTACTAGTCTTACATGTTCAGTCACAGATGATCTGAAGTCTCAAATTCTAATACCTGTGTCACAAAACAGTACAAACATAGCAGAATAACAACTTCCCTCCAACAAAGTTCATTTTCTAGTCTGTTACATAATTTTACTCAAAGTCTTGTCTTTGAGAAGTCAAATCACTAAAGATTTTAATTAAAGTGACAAAAGTCCATCCTTAGTAGACACAATCCAACTAGTAGTTACGTGCTGTGCAAGAGCAGCTTGTCTGAATAAATGTGATGGGAGCCACCCAGAAGCAACTGCAGGGTCAGAGGAGTTATGTAGTGTCTTCTGCCTCTATTTTCAAACTGTGCAATGGGTTTGGGTTTTGGTATGCAAAGTTATGAGAACATTTTGATCATTTGTAGACTTACAGTGATGGAGCTTGTTCATATTCCTTCAGGAGTACATTGGAGCATGTGTGGTACTCATAGCAGCTGTCACTTCTATTACCAGTTGCCTGTATAAAACACTCTCTTCAGGACTTGTAGGCTTGGGACTAACCTATGCTCTTATGGTAAGAATCTCAGGACCCTTCTTGTCTCTCCCAAACATTTTTTTGTAATTCTTCAGGGCGCAAAGATGAACAAGAAGATCGAAGGTGTCTGTGTATCTATCCATGGGTACCGTAACATCACTGAAACCAAGTGTTAACTTCAATTTCCATTCAGTGGTTGACATATTTGAGAGTACTCTTTTTCATTTTCTAGATAAAATATTCACAGAAGCAGTAGTTCAACTATGTCATCCAAATATTGCCAAGTTGCATCATATTTTTATAATGTCTTCCATTGTGAATAACAATATTGTTTCAGTGCATCAGTCATAATTATGACCAAATACATCATTCCAGATTGTCAAACCTTTTTAGTTACCAAACGATGTCTTTCTGCTTGTCTTTACTGTTTTCTTTCCTCTTTGCTGTTGGTAGATCTCCATAGTATCAATCTCTCTGTGCTTTGCAGTCAGGAAATGTAACCTGAAGTCATTGCTGTCACCCTGTTGATGTGTACCACACAGTTCTTTCATGACTTCAGCTTACTAAGGCTGAACAAGTGTTCGGGAATATAAGGTGCATGCTGGTCGAATGATGCAAACTGCTAAAAACCTGGAATTTAGGAGTTTGTTTGCTTTACATCAGGTGTCTAACTATCTGAATTGGATGGTTCGTAACCTGGCTGATATGGAGATCCAGCTGGGTGCAGTGAAAAGAATCCATGGCCTTCTCAAAACAGAAGCTGAAAATTATGAAGGGCTCCTTTGTAAGTGCAGTTTTGTGCAGCATGCAGAGAGAGCTTGCTGAAATACTAATGATTTTGCAGTCTATTACCATGAATAACTCAGTAAATTACTTAATGAGATGATGAATTCATCACGAGAGGGTGGTTGTATTTGTTCTTCTGTGCTCCTGGTACAGCTTCCTCGCAGATTCCCCAGAACTGGCCAGACAGAGGCGAGATCCAAATCCAGAACCTGAGTGTCCGATATGACAGCAACTTAAAGCCAGTGCTGAAGCATGTCAATGCCCACATTTCTCCAGGACAAAAGGTAAATAACTGAATTGATTTTGAAAAGCTTTATAGACTAGCTTATCATAGAAACCACAGACTTAGGGAAAAAAAAAATAAAAAAAAAAAACAATATTATATTTTAATGACTGAATTACAGATTTTTTTTCTCTAAAAGAATGTATTGCAGTGGAGAGGGATCTGTGGGTTTTTTAGTTTGTTGTGCTTAGGAGTCTGTTACAATGTGAAGTTAGAACTACACACCACTTCTTAGTATCCCAGCACTCTGCTGTCAGCACACAGTGATGAAAGAAGTGACAATGACCCCTTATGTTAGATCTACTTTCCATCATTCCCATGTGGCTCCCCTGCAGTTATTCCCATCTTTGCTCTTCTGCCTGGTTGTGTCTCTGTTCTATCAGTTTTTCTCCTCCCTAATCCTGTTTGCCTGTGTCCTTCCTGCTCAACAAGGCCAATTCCAGATCCTAAGCTTTGCTGACCGCACTGACCAGCCCTCCTGCTGCTCCTCCGTGTCACTCTCTGCTTGTTTCTGTACATAGGACTGGCCTTGATTTATCCCTAAATGCTCAGACCTTTAAAGACAAAGACTGTAATTTGGGATGCTGTTACGGCCAGTACAGTTTGACTGAACTGTCAGGAGTGCGGGATGATCACGTAGATTTGAATAGTATCTCCATCCTAAATGTCGAATACAAACACTGTCCATTTCCACTCACCTGATGTTCATCTTCTTTCTGTGTCACAGATCGGGATCTGCGGCCGAACAGGCAGTGGAAAATCCTCCTTCTCTCTTGCATTTTTCAGAATGGTTGACACTTTTGAGGGTAAGATTACACTTTTTTGTGTTGCTCAAGCTTAGCTCCTGAAGGTGCGTTGATATTCCTTTCCTGAATAGCAGCAGCTTTGAAGTGCACTTCTTGAATCGGAGAGATGCTCTCTGGCCTTGTTTAAGTACGGTGTCATCTAACAGCTGTGCCATTGACTCGCTGGATCAATAAAAATTCTCACTCTACATAACAGAAGCAAGAGTTCAGGAGTGACAGGAGACAGCCTTTTGTGCTGCTAAATCACAGCAGTAGGAGCAAAGTATAAAAGGAGAAAAGCGTTCAAGGATAAGCAAGGATCTGCACACAAGGCATAGAGAGGATTCACTGGGTCTGGAAGACTCCTCCACTGGGGATTACAAAGCCAGACAGTTGTACTTGAAGATAAACTTTCAAAGTGCTCAACAGTAATTTGGCTTTCTGAAATGACCGTTTCCCTTGGTAACAAGTCCTTAATCAAAGTAACCTCTTACCTTGTTGTTTGCTACATTTTTATTAATGGTCAAGCAGATAAGTGGTGTGTCTAACCATTCCTTAACATAGTACAGGTCTACCTCACATTCTTCACAGCTGAGCCTTAGTCTTTGGAGAATTGTGCCAATGGTGCCAACCAAAACTTGTTTCATTAGTGAATAAAGGGATTTGCAACTCAAGGCCTGTTCCTGCTGTAATGTATTGCAAGCTGAAAGTGAGCCATGTCTTTGCCAGCAGCTCACTGGAGTCCAGCAGACTCTCCATTTTCTTTTGAATAGGAAGAATTATCATTGATGGTATAGATATCGCCAAGCTCCCCTTACAGACGTTGAGATCCAGGCTGTCAATCATTCTCCAAGATCCTATTTTATTCAGCGGAACAATCCGGTAAGCACTGAGCCCTAGCAATAGAAAAATAATGACGATCTGCATCATCCCACGTCATGACTTTTACAAAACTGCTGATGCAAACTGTTTGGTTTTGGTTGCCTCAGTTGGAGTAGGCAGGATCGCTGCTTTCTGTCTGTGCTTTCCACCTGCCACTAGTGGGGTGCTCCTTCCCAGTGCCTGCGCCTGGGCAGCACGCTGTCAGCAGAAGGAACCAGGGAGCAGAACCACTGCGTCAGGACTGGGTCGTCAGTTTAGCCCACCAACAAACACCCCATCAAACACCCGCTCTGCACTTACTGAAACCTTTTTTCTCCTATGTGTTTTTGCTTCTGTCTGCCTTAAAAAATGAGATGGAGAAAATGCAGACTCAAAATAATAATAATAATGAATAAAATAAATAAAAATTAAAAAAGTAGAAAAAGAGGAAGCAGCAGAACTACATGAGAAGTACTGCAGGACTTCTAGGGTGTTTCATCTTGGAGCCTCTATCCTCTGTTGCTTTTCTAGTCTTTGAGATATTCTTTCATCTATGAGATCAAACGCCTTGTTTATGCTTTACTTTTTTTTTCCACCTCTTCCTTCTTCTTTGAGAAGATGATGCAGTAAAAACCACATGGAAAAAAGCTCCATGGTTTCCAATAAATGTCACTCCCTATCTCAGTGTCACTTACCTTAGAAAGGAACAGTACATGTATAATCTTCAGTACAGTTTCATCACCTGCAGCTATGGTTTCTATAAGAAAAGTCATTAGAGTTCACTGAAAATGATAGAGGTTTCTGCAGTTTGCTGACTTGAAACTAATACAGATCCCAAGATTATCTCCTGAACTTCCCTGAATAAAGCATGATTCATTTATGTCAGATGACAAGGTGACTGTGTGCCTTTGTTTTAATAATTTACCTATTCAAAAATTTATTTCAGGGCCATCATTGGTTACTCAGAGCACATACAGTAGCAGTAAGCATTAAAAACAGTGTCCCATACCACTGAATCTTTTATTTCTGATGATCATTCTGTGTATTAATATGATATGAGATTCATTGCTATCAATTTGGGGCCCCAGCAAGCACAAATAACATTCATCTGTTCATAAATCCAAGATCTGTTCAGTCGTAGTGAAGACTTGCATTTCATAAGTCATTATGAAGCTTGACTCTTCTGTTTAGCACTTCCTTGTCACTAAGGGGCAAAGGGACACAGTGGATTTAAAAGGAGAGATGGCAGAATGAGAGATGTTAAACGCTGCCCAAGTCTGCTAAATTCAGTGGATTTATACCAGGAAGAGATGGCAGGTCATTAGTGTGTGATTCCTGTTATTAGTGGGTTTGTTTCTGGGCACACCAAAAGAAGAAATACATTGCAGAGGTTGATACTAATTAATTGTCTTGAATTGCATCTAACTGTAGGTTTAACTTGGACCCGGAGAAGAAGTGCACTGACAGCATGCTGTGGGAAGCACTGGAAATAGCACAGCTCAAGCATGTGGTGAAAGCGCTACCTGGGGGCCTAGGTAATGAGACTTCCTTCTTGCGAAGATCACATCTGCTGTTCACAACAGAACAGCGTTTCACACTGCCTATTTATTAAAAGGCAGTTGCTGAAGGGAAACCCTCTGAGGTTTATGGGAGGTGACAAAAAGTGCTTGCCTGCAGGCAAAGGCGCTAGATCCATCGAATTCCCTTACCAACTGCACCCTGCAGGGCATAATCCTGTTTCTGTTTCAAATTAATGGTAAAATGGTTTTATTTCAGTATGTCTTTGCTATGATTTATTGTGGCTCATGAGTCTGGTGAACTCAGATAAGACGTCAGCAAGTCAGGTGTTATCTAGAATATGTTCTTCTGCATTTTGCGATATTCCTATTGCATAGAGAGGAATTCAAAGGGGGAATGAAAGTTTAAAGGTATGAATTATTTGGTTATGCAAAAGCAAGCAAAAACTTGCCAATAAAGATGCACACACACACAAAACCGAAAACCACAGCCCCTTAAAATGCTAAGTTAGAAAGCCTGAGAGTAAAGAAATGATGGCTGCCCCTTGGACGGTGATGCAGTGCCCTAGACTGCACGCATCTCAGAGACACTCGCTCTTAAACATCCTTAGCTACTTTGATGTCTAGTAGGTATAAAGAACATAGCGAGAGAATTGCTGGTTATTTTGAGCAGCAGATATAAGGAGACAAAACTGGGCCATCAGCAGCTTCAGAGGGTAGGAAATGTTACTTTGAAAATCTTTATGCTGAAGGCGAGAGACATGCTCCGCTCTGATCCATCCCTCTCATCCACACCTCACAAATGATGTTTTTGCTGTATCCTTTCCAGACGCTATCGTTACAGAAGGGGGTGAAAATTTTAGCCAGGGCCAAAGGCAGCTCTTCTGCTTAGCAAGGGCCTTTGTGCGGAAGACCAGCATCTTCATCATGGACGAAGCCACAGCATCCATTGACATGGCAACGGTGAGTTTGGAATGTTTCCAATTTCTTTTTTTCTTTGAGGGGGAGACAAATGTTAATAGGAAAAGAAAACTGGAGAAGATGATTGTCTGTGCTGTAACACGCTTATACAATATTTATTGTAGACTTGTTTGTAAGTCCAAGTAGTTGTGCATCATTGCAAACTAGTCTAAAGTGCTCTTAAATTCCCAGAAAAAAAAATATTTAAAAGTTATTAGGGCATTGTTTGCTTTAGGAAAATGAAGTGTGTTATTTTCATTGGCAGTTTGATTTCCTAAAGCAAACAAAGCTTTGGAAGGTCAGCTGCAATGGTCACTGAAGGGTAAACTGGCAAGCAGACAAGTTTGCCCAGCATGGTGGACAGGACAAGTCAGGAAGTTGGAAGTCTTGAAAGCAGGGTCAAAGACATAAACAAAGACATACTGGTTTATTGCATTAATTGCCTGAAATTGCTAGACAGAGGTTAAACCACACAATAATAGCACACTGCCTGGATTTTAGCCAAACAGAACAGTACGTCCTTAGGATTTTTTACTTGGTTATGTTGTTATGAGAAATGTTTCGGTGTTCTTCGTGATGACAGTAGCCTATGAGTGAATAATGTAATTGGAGGGCAGTTATTAAAACAGTTATGATTTTTAATTCTGTAAAATGTTAGTGTGGTAAATGTCAGCACAGTTGGGAATTACACTGTACACAGCCCAGTTAAAACGCATTTTGAATTTTGATGTAGTAAGGATATGGTTCATCCCTTGGGATATGTGTCTAAAGAACAGATGATAGCAAACGAAGGTGTCTGTGCTAGTGGCTTGTAAGCAGTCTGGTACACAACATGTTTCCTAAACAGGAATGGATGAGTACTGCTTGAGTGAGAACTACACGTTAAAACTATCATAAAATCTCCTTCGCTGTTAAATATCCCAGGATCAGCACACTCCCATGCTTATCCCTGCCACCCCATGGGATTAGCAGTCCCCAGTGTGCGGGGACATGCCTGGGCTTCCAGCAGAGTGACGAACGTACTGCAGAGGTGTCAGCAAGCATGCAGCCTGGCAGCTCCCTGAATTTGTCTTTAATTTACTACACTGTAAAACTGAGATCAGGATAGTGGGGCTTTGGGAGCCAGAGTGCAGCTCATGAGCACACAGCACAATGGCACAGAAGCCCAGAGGCAACGCAGGTGGCAGGAGCAAGCAGGGCTAACTGGGGACCACTGACTTAAGTTCTGACATGGGGTTGATTTTTCATTTCTGCAACAAAGGATGTAATAATCGGTGGTTATTTAAGCCTTCTTCAGAGTATCTGTGTGCCTACTGGGTAACTTCTGTTCTATGAAAAGCAACAAATGGTTTCCTTTTTGTAGGAGAACATCCTCCAGAAGGTAGTCATGACTGCGTTTGCTGACCGTACTGTGGTTACAATAGCAGTAAGTACAGTCTCTGTGAATTTGGCCATTAATCTTTTTTTTTTTTTTTCATTGCAGTGTTTAAGCTTTCTTTTCCATTCTAAACTACTTTCTTATTTAAAGATACATAACAACAGTTTCCTAAATGTGTTGCTGGGTGCTAACTCTGATTACCTGCAAAGGCATACGAGTTTGTGCTCTATTTTCGTTTACCCATTTTAGGCTAATTTCTAATATAACGCAACTTTGACTATTGTGAAATATAAGTTTTCTCAAGCTAAAATAATGATTTAACTAAGAAAGAGTAAAATTACGTGATTAGTTTGTCACAGGATAGAGCAATTTTGTTTCAGTATTTAAACAAATGAAGGAGAATTTTACTGACTTCTAAAAACCACTCCATCCCTGTTGACAGTGACTGAGTTTAGGTTTTCATGTTCTTGAAATGATAACACAAAGATCTCAAGTATTTATAAATAAAACTGTTTATAGACCTGAATCAAAGCAGTTGGCTTGACAGATATGTCAGAAGTAATACATCTCTTTGTCCTCTATTTTGTAAAAATACACATCTCAGGGAGCTGAAACACAGTAATTTTGCTTTTTACTATTTAAAGATCAAGCATAATGCCAAAAATATATGGTCAAGAATAGTACAGCATCTTTTCCTTTACACTTAGCAGCAGTCTAACAGAAAACCTGATTTACCTCATGGTATCCATTCATTGTGTCTTTGCAAGAAAAGCAAAGGAATAATAAGCACAAAATTTCCTTGTTTCTCTGCATGAAAACACTGAGTTGCACTGCATTTTGCATTTGCGTATCTTTTTGTTTAGGGATGGGCTGAGGAAGTTTTGTTTATTAGCCTTTCGTTCTCTTAGTTTTAAACCACACAATTCAAGCAAACAGCATTTTGGAGTAAAATTGAAATGCAGAAGGTGGGTTTGTATTTGAAATGTTCTTTGGTAGAAAGAACATTTGTTGTTTGTCCTTAGGAACAAAAGTAGTATTGGGTCTATGTTACCATCTATGTTACTCTACCAGGATGGCAGCACTGATTGTGCTCCGACAAGGGCAGTGAGTATAACAGGAATGTGACATTTCGGTCCCCTCCCCCTGCCTGTGGTCTGGATAAATGTCACATAGAGACTGCAGCAGCCATGTGACTTGTAGATGCCATCAGTGATTATTTTATAGAACACCTGGCTAGAAAGCCACAGAAGGAAATGGAAAACTTGTTTTGATCCTGAGAGTGCCCAAAATCAGATTGAGAACCTTATGGGTGAAGAGTTATTGTGTAACCATAGCATTCTGAGATTAAATAACCCTGCAGGAGTAATACAGACCAAGAAATGCAGTGCAGTTACACTCACCTTTAAAAAGTGGAATTCTGTAAAATGAGGAGGCTTGCTATAATTTACTTTTTAAAAAAAAAAAAGAAAAAAAGGAAGCAAATGATATGATGGGGGTCATGAAAATTACTGAAGGATTTTCTTCAAAACTCCTAGAGCCAATGCATGCTTTTTATTAGGAAAGGCTTGAGTAAGGGTAGAAAGAAGCAGATATGGCTAAACAAATAAAGAAGGCTATGAGAACCAAGGAGACATTCTTGTAAAACCTGAACTCCTAGCCAAATGAAGAAAACAGAAATGATCAAAAGCATATTACATAACAGATAACAGTACATAGCAATTGCAATAAGGCAGGCCAACAAAAATAAATAAATAAAAAGCATATGAAAGCAAGAAGGCATTAAAAATGATAGCGAATCCCTTAAGCACATCAGGAGCAAGAAACCCATTGGTTTGTAGGGCCATTTGATGTTGAGTACATGAAAGGAATACACAGGAAGAGAAAGATATTGCAGAAAAACTAAATGAATTATTTGTAGTATTCACTGTGGAAGAAACTGGGGAGGTTTCTTCCCAATCAAGTAAGTTAATCAAATGTTAGGGCTTACTTGAAAAAGGGTAAAGAAAAAAAAAAGGGGGGGAAAATATCATACGCTGTATAAATTCATAGTTTGCACATACCTTGAATACTGTTTGTAGTTCCAGCCCCTTCATCCTCAGATCGACACATTGCAACTGAATAACGTTGAGAATTGCAGCAGCAGGGATGATCAGAGGTGTGGAGCTGCTCCTGAAGGGGAGCAGCTGAGTAAACCAGGCCTCTTCTGTCTGGAAAAAGGACAATGTAAGGAAATGTAAGAGAGAGGTCTGCAAAACAGTGAGGCAGGAGGGGGCATGACTTTTTTCCAGGCTCTTTTCAGTGGTGCCCAGTGCCAGAACAAGAGGCAATGGGCACCAACTGCAAAGGGCAGGAGAGGTTGTCTGGACGTAGGAAACTCTTTACTATGGGGGTGCCAGGGCAGGGATGTGGATGGAAAATCTTTCCAAGGGATGTGGATGGAAAATCTTTATGAAAATTCAAGGGGAAACATGGGCAAGGTCTTAGGAGAGACATCCCTTCAGCTTTACAAATGGACAAACCACTCCGGGCTCAGGAAAACCCTTGATCTAGAAGCACTCTGGGACTGGGAGAGTACTTGAGAGCAGTAACCCATATGCTTGCCCTGTTCCCACTCCTCCTGGCTGCCTTATATGTGTATTTGAATATCTACATGGATCTTGATCTTTGTATTTGGCTGCAATATTTGCAGAGTAAATCAGGATGTAAGGCAGGATAAAGTCATCTTAATCAAACTTGATGGGAAGATTAATTTCTGGAAGGCTGTCTTATCCTGAAATGTGCATGTGGTAGGTACACTGAACTGGCATTTTATTTGTTTTCAGCACCGCGTGCACACGATCCTGAATGCAGATTTGGTTATTGTCATGAAGAGAGGGGTTATTTTGGAATACGACAAGCCTGAGGTTCTGCTAGAACGAGAAGACAGTGTATTTGCTTCTTTTGTACAAGCAGATAAGTAGTAAAAATAAGCATTTTAAAGTAAAATTGTATTACCTATTTTCTAAAAGTGTAAAATACCTGTAAATAAATACTATTTCATAATAAAACAGAGGTTTTCCTTTTTTAATAAAATGAGCTATTTCTCCATCTAAAGTATTAATGAATTATCCATGTACTCTCCTCTTTTGTATAGTACTATTTTTTTTTATTTTGCTGCCAAAGAATCCTGAAATATGGTTAACAGAACCTCATGGATGAAATACGAGAGGATACACGTCAAACAAAAACCTAGCCAGCATGGACTTTCTGTGTAACTCATAAATCTCTCTTGTCATTTTATTACCATGTTATTTTTTACGCATCGTAGCCCTGCTGTGGATAATGCTTATTACTGACTAATGCAGAAAGAAATTATATACCAAAGGTATTTCTGGAAAGCCTGTATCTCTTTTAATCATATGACTATGTAAAGCTTTAATATCTAAATATAAAGTCTATAAAACTTTTTATTGCAGTTTATTGATACTGCTTGTGTCTCTTGGTCTCTTCTTTAATACCTCTAAGAAATTAATCACACCCTAACTCCCTTAGTCTTTCTTAGGCTGCCTTGCCTCTCCCCCAGCTGAATCACGTATTGATTCCCGAGGGCCAGACTCCCTCCCACATAGTGAGGAAGGGAAGAGGCCGGAGGCTGTGATAAGGTATCAGTATTTAATGCACACTATTTCCAAAGCGCTGCAGACAACAACAATTCATCTAGAAATTATCCTTCCAAGTCTGGTAAACAAAAGGTATTAAACCTTGTCCTGTAGCTCAGAGCCACGGGGCCTCGACTCATTCTCTCCTAATTTGACATAATTCACCCACTGTCACGCTGTTTCTAGATTCACTGTGATCCTCACCCACATATACTCAAGATAACTTTTAAGCACTGAAATTATCCTAATTTAGCTGGACAACTACTTATTCCCGTCCAATCAATTAACTGTGGCAATCATTCTAGGAGTAATTAATGACTAAGCAGTGAGAACGTCAGTGACCCAGTGGAAGATTAAGATCAATTTTTCACTGGTATTCTTTTTATAGCATTTTCTTTCACATCCCTTTTTGCCTTCCCCTATTTGAAGAACTCAAAGCATTTGGGGAAAGTACTTTGTGGTGTTTTTTTTTTTCTCCTCTCTTTAGCCAGCTAAATTAATTTGAAATCTATTTTTAAGAATTTAGTTCCTAGAGGCAGACATCTCCATGTTCTCATGGGGTACCAGATATTTTTAATGCGTTACTTCTCTTCTAGCACTGCAGCAGAAAGCAGAGGAGAGAAGAACTGCTGCTGTTTAAGCAGTGTTACCACTTCTCCGGGGGGGAAACAGTTTAGTGATGGGACTGAGTAGGTCAGGTTGGGCTCGGTGACCTTGAAGGCCTTTTCCAACCCAGATGATTCTGTGATGCTGTCACTTGCACAACACCTAAGGGCATTAAACTCGGGCCAGAGAGCGGTTGACCACCAGGAGAGTGTAGCTCGTGCTACACTCCTGGTTAAAGTAGCAGACGGAAAATCTGTTCACGCAGATAAAATGCATAAACGCTTGTCATGGCCAGCTAAAGAGAGAACAGGGGTAGCTGGAGACGTCTGGGAATTGTTTTGCTGAGTAGCTTTAACGAAAAAATAGCTGCCCCAGTATCAGTGTATGTTCACCCTGAGACACCAGGCATCTTGTGAAAGCTAGGAAAGGAGAAATTGGACACAGGTGACTGTATCCTTCCAGAGCAGCAGAAGGGCACAGTGAGCGCCAAATAGGTTCCTACTGCAGCCACTGCGTGTGCTGCCTCCTAGCTGCCCAGCACCAGCCTAATGCAAGTACTCATCCCATAAAGACTTAGGAAATCACCACTCCACAGGACTTACCTGGAAAGGGCTGCAAGGGAGCAAAAGACACAGCGCATCATGATTTTTGGAAGACCATATTAGATCTTGAAGTTATAAAACATGATTGCAAAGCGCAAGTGACTGTAATTGGAGGTAGGTTTCCATTGTAAATGGGGCTTACATTTCATAAGGCATCACTGCAGGACAGCAGGGTATGAGAGTTGGTTGGTAGCCAAAGATTATACATCTTTTTCACGGCATCACACCACCAGATAAATGTGTGAACGCAGAGGCCTCTTAGCTGCCACTTGGACAGAAGACATTTTATGTTTCCTCGGTGTATTTTTATCTGTTTATATGGGGCCAAATCCCAGAGAGTTTGTGCTCCCTAACTCCAAAGGCTTGGCGTCTCAACAGGGAGCAGAAGCCATATCTAAAAAGATTATTCAGTGGTGGGAGGTGTAAAGTCAGAGAAGGTGGAAGGCTCGCTGCTGTTCCTGAGTCATTAAACCTGCTACTTCGGGTTGGCTGGTCCAGAAGTCCCTGTTGAATCAGGCTCACGAACATACAAAGCACGGCAATACCACGTTACTAAGCAAAGTGTTGCACTAGATGAGAAGAAGACAGCCCAAGAGCAGCCACGTGAGGATGGGGAGCTGTCACATCCAGACCCTATTTCTCCTCTAGCACAGGGCTTGGCTCAGTCCCCAGGATGTCGGCAGGATAGGCTGCCCCTGGCAATGCAACCAGGGCTTGTTGCACCCTGCTGCCTTCTATAAAGGCTTCCACTACACAAACATATTTTTGTCTTTATCCCCTTATCTCACCACAGCCACTTCATCCTGGTGCACTCATTTCTACGGGAGTGCTGTTTTCTTGGAAGGCCAAGAAGCACAGTGTGCCTGCTACGTTAGCCCTCTTCCAGCTCTGCTCATGCCTTCCCCTGCAATTCTGACTGGCCAGCTCTGAGCTCTGCTCTGTTTCCCTGCTCATACAGCGAGGGCATTTGAGAGGCTTAGCTCAGGTTAGGCTAGCACTACATAACCCTTGAAACAAAGGTCTACTTACACAGGTGCCAAACAAATTTTAAGTTCATAGCTATAGTAATATCTTCTTGGTAGTCTTTAAATTAGGGAAAAGCAGAAGAAAAAAAGTTTTGAAATGTAAAAACTATTTCATGGGTGGACAAAATGTACCCTGCATGATTCCACACTACAGCCTTCAAGTGTGGGTTTGTTCCTGTGAGCCCAATTTGCTCAGCAGCTCTTAACACAAATATGTTGGCTCACACCAAAGATCTGTCACTTTTCTCCTTTAAGTATCTGTCACTTGATCCACAAAGACAGGGCTTCTTTTTGTTCTGCTTTAGAAATCCTCCAGCAGAAGCCACTTGCTTTCCTGTTCTATCTAAGCTAACAACTGCTGGATAGGAAATGGCGAAGGAAAAGAAGGTAAGTGGAAGATGACAGCCCCAATAAAGAACAGAAGGGGAAACAAGGAAACACCCTTCTAGCACTATAGAGTTCAGGATTCCTAAAACCAACAGGGTGAACATGTTCATGCAGCACTCCTTGCTGCAGTAGGCTGCACAGGTCATTCCTAGCACCAGCCCAGGAGGCAATTCACCTTGCTGATACATGTGCTTTAAAACACACTGCCACCTTAATGCATTTTTTTCATTCTACACTCACGTAGTTGCCGCCCTCTGGAGGAAGAGGTACAGAATAAGACAACATCGAGAGAAAAGTAAGAAAAAAATTGCAGCAAAGGCATGTCTATTTCCATCTCTGTAATAGAATGACGTGCTACCAGCAAGTACTACTACCTGATGGTGCAGAGCCTCTTTATGATCACTTCGGAAATGCTGGAGCTGCCCTCAGGTGGAGAACTGCACTTTTCAGAAGTAACGTTTCAGATTTCTTTCTAAAAATTAAAGTACAAAAGATCATCTTTAAAGTTAAATTGTATATACAAACCATGTACTTGGAGCATTTAAATTTTAGCCTTTTGTTTTGTTTGGTGCAGGTGGCATATTCACAGCAAGAACGCACACAGTGTCTAGCAGAGAAGACAATACAGAGAAGTATCTTTGGGCAAGTTCAGCAGCCTGGCAGCCAGGTTCCAGGACACCTTGTTGTCATTTCAGTATTATTTATCAAAGCAGCAAGAAAGGTGACCCAGAACAAGAGAAAAAGTGGAGTATTGGGAAATCAATCCTGTCAGAAAGAACGTTAAGTGTCCAAGGACACGCAACTAGTCATAGCAAATAGTAGTAGTGGAAATAGCCTCAAATAACAGTGAGCAATTAATTACAAGCCCTACAGTGCCTGCTTAGAGACCTCAGAATGATTATGTAGAAAACACTAATTCTGATATCCCTTAGGTAGGCTACAGTTCGCAGCTGGTGGTGGTAAAAGTTGATTCCAACCTCCTCACCTGGCTAAAAACGTTATCCAGAATATGCCAGGATGCTTTAGCAAATCTACAGCTTTGGTGCCTAGGCTGAAATAGAAAGAAAATACTTAAATTAGAGCAAGTAAACATGATGGAGAATATTGATATTTAAACAGCATGACAACAACATCGGAGTGTTTTTAGATAAACGATCTTGACCCAAAGACGTATCACGTCAGTCCATCAGCTCTTTGGTTCGGAAAAATCTGTCTTTAGTAGGGCTGAACAGCAGATTTCATGAGTGGGAACGAGCCCTTTACCCCCAGGTCTCTTTAACCATTACACCCCCAGCCTCGGCCCCTTCAGGCAAGTTTCTTCCCACTCCCTGCCCGCATATCTCATTAGCCAGAAGCTCACCGCACAACGCATGGGCAAATCGCAGGAATCCCAGACCTTTTTTTTTTCCTTTCTGAAGAAGATTTCACCTCACAGAGCTTCCCCCGACCCCCTTCCCCCCTCAGTTCCCGCTCCCGACCCGCCATCGCGGCGCCCTGAGGCAAACACTGACAGAAACGTCTTTGGCGGGGGGGGGGGGGGAACCGCCCGCGCCGCCCTTCCCTGAGGTAAACCTGAGGTAAACCTGAGGTAAACCTGAGGTAAAAACTGGCGGGGGGCGCCCCCGAGGCCGCCACCGGTCGAGCCCGGCCCCACACGCCGAGGTCTCCTCGGCGTGTGGGGCCGGGCTCGGCCGGTGGCGGCCTCGGGGGCGCCGCCTGGCGGCCCCGGTGCCCTCCCCGCTGCGGCGGCGCCGTGCGAGCCCGTTCGTCCCCCGCCCCCGGCGGCTGCGGGAGCGGGGCCGGGGCCGGGGAGGCGCCGAGCGGCGGCTGGGCGCTGCGGGAGCCATGCTGTCGAGGAAGGGGATCATCCCCGAGGAGTACGTGCTGACCCGGCTGGCCGAGGATGTGCCGGAGCACGCCCGGTACCGAGCCCGGGAGCGGCGGGCGCGCTTCGTGGGGAAGAACGGAGCCTGCAACGTGGCCCACAAGAACATCCGCGAGCAGGGCAGGTTCCTGCAGGACGTCTTCACCACGCTGGTGGACCTCAAGTGGCCGCACACGCTGCTCATCTTCACCATGTCGTTCCTCTGCAGCTGGCTGCTCTTCGGCATGGTCTGGTGGCTCATCGCCTTCGCCCACGGGGACCTGGACCACAGCACCCGGCTGCAGCGGGACCCGGCCAGGGAGGGGGCGTCGGACGGCTTCGTGCCCTGCGTGACCAGCATCCACTCCTTCACCTCCGCCTTCCTCTTCTCCATCGAGGTGCAGGTGACCATCGGCTTCGGGGGCCGCATGGTGACGGAGGAGTGCCCGGCCGCCATCCTGGTGCTGATCGTGCAGAACATCGTGGGGCTGGTGATCAACGCCATCATGCTGGGCTGCATCTTCATGAAGACCTCGCAGGCGCACCGCCGCGCCGAGACCCTCATCTTCAGCAAGCACGCGGTCATCGCCCTGCGGGAGGGCAAGCTCTGCTTCATGCTGCGGGTGGGCGACCTCCGCAAGAGCATGATCATCAGCGCCACCATCCGCATGCAGGTGGTGAAGAAGACGGCCAGCCTGGAGGGGGAGGTGGTGCCCCTCAACCAGATCGACATCCAGATGGAGAACCCCGTGGGGGGCAACAGCATCTTCCTCGTCTCCCCACTCATCATCTACCACGTGATAGACAAGAACAGCCCCCTCTACGACATCTCCCCGGTGAACCTGCACCACCATGAGGATCTGGAGATCATCGTCATCTTGGAAGGGGTGGTAGAGACCACCGGCATCACCACGCAAGCCAGAACCTCCTACCTGGCAGACGAAATCCTCTGGGGCCAAAGGTTCGTGCCCATAGTGGCGGAGGAAGATGGGCGATACTCCGTGGACTATTCTAAATTTGGCAACACGGTGAAAGTGCCCACCCCTTCGTGCACGGCCAGGCAGCTGGAGGAGGACAGGAGCATTATGGACACCATGCCATTATCCCCGAAAGGCACCATAAGGAAGAGGTCCGTCAAGCTAAAGCCCAAGTTCACCATCACCGATGAGCCTTCCTGATGCCTCTTGTGACTGGGAAACTCTGTTAGGGCTTTGTGTCTGAAAGATCTCATAAACTCAAAACACTGAGGTGGCCTCTGTTGCTTTTTTTAAAATTCAGGTTGGTAGAACAAGGTATGTTCTGGTGTTATTTATTGTGGGATAAATCTAAAGCTAATTATATTTTTTTAAAGGTGCAAGAGATTTCAAGCAGCACTGTATGAGTAGGAAAATCATGATCTGCAGCTTTAAATTTCAGTTCAGACTGTCATATTCAGTTGCACGATCATTTTGTATTGATTAATCTGTGGGTAATTACACATTTTCTCAAAAAATAAATGTATATTTATTCTCGGAGATTGCAGTACTTAGGGTCTTGCAGTGTATGTCCTACAGTCGGTAGATTTCAACTGTATTTTTCTAACTTGAACAATCAATATAGCAAAATAAAATAATTAATAAAGTCAGCTGAATTTAAATGACAACAAAAAGGTCAGGCAGTGCTATGTATGACATAAGACCAGATCTAGGAATGATCGTGCTATTACACTCTATGTCTTAAAGAAATTAAGTGCCGGATTTGCTTCATCCATATTGTATTGTATGGAGCCACTCCTACCACATGCAATATGAAATGTATTTGAATATTTCATTTTGTTTATTTTAAAACCCTTTACACTTCCCGAATAAAACATTCAAGAATACCTTTCTGGACTGTATATTTCTGATAGGAAGCAATGAGTTGCCTTTAAAAAGAGCAGCAGAACTGAGATTAATTATAAATAGGAAAAAATCTGTATTGTAATTGCCTAAAGGGAGAGGAGGAATGTCCCCTCCTTCCACACACCGAGCCACACAGCAATAGGATACCCAGTAAAAAAATTAATCTCTGCTTTAGGTCAGAGTGAGTTCTGTTAGATAATCAGGGAATATAAATAGATATTTTAGCTGAAAGGGCAGAGCTGTATGCTGGAATATAGCTGCATTCAGTAGCAAAACTGCTGTGTCCTTTCCCTTTTGTGAAAGAAGCAGAGGTTTTCTGCTTAGGGACAGGAGGGATGTGCGAGACAACGTGGTCACTTCAGAGATGCTGTGTCACAAAAAACTACTGCAGAGGAAATGGTTTCCTCGTTTAACATCCTGACCTCTACACAGCTGGTGCCTGCCGTGGTTTTTAGTTGAATTCAAGAGCAGGTGATTACTGGCAAAGGTAAATGAGCCACGTTCAGCCCATCAGTTCCACTAGGGCAATAGGAGCGATTGCCCTTAACAAACTACAGCAAAAAAAAAAATAGGTTGGATATTAGGAAGAACTTCTTTACCAAAAGGGTTGTGAGGCATTGGAACGGGCTGCCCTGGGAAGTGGTTGAGTCACCATCCCTGCAGGACTTTAAAAGATGTTTAGATGTAGAGCTTAGTGATATGGTTTAGTGGAGGGCTGGTTAGTGTTAGGTCAGAGGTTGGACTCAGTTATCTTGGAGGCCTCTTCCAACCTAGATGATTCTGTGATTCTGTGAAATCCTCTATCTGGGGATGTTTGTAACAGCAGCAATTTTATTTCTGTGTTATTAGGGGACAGCAGCAGCCTTACCTACATTATGCTATTAACAGGGCAAGCTGCCACTCAGGTAAAAAAAGATGCTGTCCAAATAAAACCTAAATAAGCTTTACAGAACTGATCTAACAGCTGGTTACACAAGTTGTGCAGAGATGGTCACCAAATCACCACTGAACTGCATTTATTTAAGTAGTTCCTAGTATCAAATTCTTGTGTGTTAAGCAGTTCATAACACACTCCTGGTTTGTAGGAGCAATAATATGGATGCTTTTTTAATGCCTCATCAGTGTAAAAATACAACAAACATTCAAAAAAATCACAAAAATCCTTTCTGACTATAGAATATTTACAGGCATCTATAATCAAATGAATATTGGGGTAAAATTACAGATTGTTTTGAAATGATAAAATAGCAGTTATATTGTCAATATTTACCTATTTCAGTTTTATGAAGGCCTGTGTCAGCATTATCAGGCTGCCAGTTAAGTGAAGAAATGTCTGTTTGGTTTCCCAACGTGCTATTCTGTGTACAGCTCTTAAAATGTGCTTTGTGTTTCACAGCAGAAGGGCACTGAAACTAGCATTAGCAAGTAGTTAGCAAGGAAAATGGGGAAAGGCATATTTTACATTTGTAATAGTAAAAAATCCTTTTTTTAAAAAAAAAATAAATAAGGAATTATGCAATGCCTTTGATTACTAAATTTCTTCTCTGAGTCCAATTGACACATTATTTTCCAGCTTTCCCTTTTTCTGCCTCTGTTCCATCACCCACCCAAGGAGCACTTAAAGTAGAGCTAATTGCTTCTCCTAGACACCTTCGTTCCTCTGAAAGTTCGTTGTTCTTTATCAGCTGTCACAATACTACTGTTCTGTTCTTACAGTCATCATAGATAAAATTTTAGAGTTAGCTTTCCAAGGACTTGAAATCATTGGCTTCTCCTTAATCTCATTAGTGCCTTCTATCAGTGTGTAAGATATGTTCGATGTTGTCACCTAAAACCTCTTCAGATCTGATAGTGTTTTAAAGCTCTCTTCAAGATTTGACCTATATGTGAAGCAATTTCAGCAGCACTGCCACGCGACTATTTTCAGGAACTGATGCAAGCCTCCTTTTCCCTGAGGGAGATCTGTGCTACAGAGAGGTAGACAATTTTTGTTCACTGTGAGATGGGAAGGGGAAAGATGGAAGGAAACAGCCTGTATTCGTTGGGCTGGTTTCAGGACTACCTTTTAAGTCACTTCTTTGACAAGAATCTGCCTAATTTTCTGAAGTCTTGCAATAAAAAGGCACCGCAATATTATGAAGAAGGCAGGGTTTGTTCTGTTAACATCACGGTAGCTAATTATCTCAGTCAGTTTGTTGGTGACTTTGAATCTCAGGAATCCTGTCATTTTAAATTGACAAAAAATTCCGTTCCTTCATCATTTCAATATTCAAAAGTATTTCAGGGGCAGAACAAAGAAGAAAAGGGAATGGTACTTCTTTGTACCCTTCGTTTTGCCATTTACAAAGCATTTGGGAATCTGAAAATTTTCTTAAAGTTGCATTTATGCTGACCACCCACAAGCTCTGTAGGAAGTGTTCTGAAGAACATGCTAGCTTTTGACGTGGAAAAACCCTCATTCTTAGCCGTGAGTGAATGCTTCATTTTCTGTAGGTGAAGTTCAAAGTGAGTGCTTGTGAATTCACTCTTCTAGACTCACTGGTCCCTTATTTAGGGTTTGGTGAAGCCAACTGTGTCCATAAAAATTGCTTTTCATGTGCTCTGCAGTCTGGAGACTGTTACCAGTTTATACTCACAGTTCACACTGTTTGGTGCATTCGGATTGGAGGCTGATAAGGTGTTTGGATGGACAAAAGGATCACAGAGCTCATTAATGAGAAATAGAGGCTGAAGAACACTGATGTTATTTGCCATAGTTTTAACATACATGCAGTGACTTCTGGTGAGAACATAGCCACTGAGCTTATCAGTTTCATGTTGCATTTCCTAATGAAATGAAGCAACATACGTGTAGGAAATTAGAGGATAACAAGGGCTGATTTGCGCTCTTTATCCCCCAAGGCGTATGATAAATACCGTATTACAGCAGTGCATTTCAGCAGGAAAGCCTCGCTGCAAAACAGATGAAAACCAGAAGCGAACTCAACAGGCTGCAAACCGAGGCAAAGGAGGGTCAGGGACACAAAGTAAATACACCTGAAATCCACCAGTGACGTGGTGGGAAGACGGCAGAGACCTAAAAGGTAGATGTGGGAGGCTCGTATAAAAGCGTTTAACAAGACCAGGGCTTCCATACCAGGCAACAAGGTCAATGTCAAAATTCAGGCTGCCCTGTAAGGCAAGAGTGCAGGCCGGGCACGATGGGCATTGCTCAAGCTGGTGGGTAAATATTGCTGTGTGTCGGGCAAGGTACCAGCCACGCCACAGCCCTTCTGGTGACCAATCTGGTGCCCGATCCTTGTGGTTAGTTACTTATTAACAGTTAATAATATCAAACTAATGAGTAATTAATTGTCCTCTGAAAGTTCAGTTTGTTTCCTCATGTTTTCCTTCCTCTTCCACTCTTCATGTCAGGCACCCCTACTTGATAATGCTTGCAGGCCAGCTGGCACCAATTGCTTCTGAGAAGAAGGTTCAGAAATCTTGAAATCAAAAAGATTGAAGAGAAGAAGATTCAGAAATGCTGCATTTTAGGCTTCCTGGTTACTGTTGGCACACACCTTTCCCTCTTCCCGCCCTCAGAGTCACACTGGTGTTGCCACTGAAAGGGGAAGAAGGATCGATGCTCTTTGCAGTTGATGCTGCTGTGCTGCCCTGCGTTCATCCAGGGCCAGCTGCCACATTCCAAGCCGGCATCTCAAACTCAACAGCCCTGACCCAAAGCTCCTGGCAGGTAACAGAAAAACAGTGGGTTTTTGGGTCAAAGGCTGTAATCTGCTGACCTGCTAAAAGCACATGCCGCAGCAGCAAGGTGGATTCAGTCAGTACTGCAGGCCTCACTCAGACAAAGTTGCTGTAGAGGTGAGGAGACCCTTGTGTAAGGAGGCCTTGGGTAAGCTGGAGCAGGGCGGTTGGTGGGACGTGTGCTTGGCGTGGCTGGTGGCTTTCTAGCTGCCTGTAACAAATGACTCAGTGTACTATTTTTGATTCAGCAACAGGAGAAAGATACGTGATACAAACCTCCACACCACACCCCCCCTCCCAAGAACTATTAAAAGAGCAGAAGACATTCTTGAGAGGCTGAAGATACCGCTGCATCCATCCTGCTCACAGCCCCAATTTAAAAGTTTTCTTCCAAATACTAAAACCCCTGCAGCTTAACATCCCTGACTTACTGAGTTTAAATACTGATTGCAGCTCCATGAGAGGTTTTCTAATCAGCTCCTCTACTGTAGCAGCCCTAAACCAGCAACCCCATATGAACTGGAGTGGAGCCAGAGGCCTCAAAACAGTGGCCCTACAGCAGGAGATCTCCATTTTCCTGTAGTTGGCAAAGAGAGGGTTGGCACAATGTATAAGTGTTGCTATAATAACCAGTTATTGAGCAGAGCCAAGGCATAGAGAGGGCCACTGACTACCAGTGGTAGCAGTATGAGTCCTTGACTTGAGGAAGTCTCAAATCAGGCTCCCCTGTTACATCATGAGCCTTTAAATCTGAAAGAGTTTGTCAGGGAGTTCATTAGCACCAGGATTTCCTTCTTGGTGTTGAGCACTATTAAATTGGTGGGAGTATGCAGCTGACCCAAACAGGCCTTGATGGTGTTTCTACTGCTACAGCTGTGCTGTTCCCCAGGGTCTGGGTTAAAAGTTTGCTTCCCATCCAGCAGCTCCTGAGATCTTCTTGCTGTGTCTTGTAAGTAAAAAAAATATATATATTTTTTTGTTCATTTCTTTTTTTTCTAATGTGAGTAAATATGGATATTATACTGCTTGTATAAGTCTGTTTGTTGAGGTATTTGAATGCTCATGACCTGGTCTGAGATCTGTTTGTTGAGCTCCTGCTGTCTCCCAGAGAGGTTGGGTGATGGGAACAGTTTTTTCAACATCTTGCTTTTTCCCCTGATGTTCTTTTCAGCTGTTGGTAGCTCTATTTTAGCCTTAAAATTTGAGGGGAAAAACTGCCATTTTTCCCCTCAAATTTTGAGGGGAAAAACTGTGACCACAATCATGCAGCTTATAAGGCGTGTTCTTGTTTTTTATTTATTATTATTCTTGATAAATTCTTATTCCTCGGTTTGATTTTTCTGCTTATTTTGTTCATTACTGTATGGACCTACAAAGTATGTCATTTCTGCTGTGTTCTTGAATAGCTTAAGGGGGGGAAAAACAAGTTCCAAGGTGTGTCGTAGGCCTGTGGCCTGCAGTCAGAACTTGACCAATACTACCATTCAAGATATTTCTGTGGTATCACAGGTCTTCCTACAACAGTATCACAGAATTTCTAGGTTGGAAGAGACCTCAAGATCATCGAGTCCAACCTCTGACCTAACACTAACAGTCCCCACTAAACCATATCCCTAAGCTCTACATCTAAACGTCTTTTAAAGACTTCCAGGGATGGTGACTCCACCACCTCCCTGGGCAGCCTGTTCCAGTGTCTAACAACCCTTTCGGTAAAGAAGTTCTTCGCTGGAGGGAGTCTGCTTCCTTTGTTAAGTGGAGATAGTCAACTTTATATATAGACTTCATCAAAGCTTGATCATCAGTAAAAACGTCATATTTGAGACTACATGTATATCTCTTGCTCTGCTTTTTTGCTGTGAAAATTGCCCAGGAGATGAAACTAGATCTGTCCTCATAGTCCTTATTTGTTACTTCCTTCTGAGTTGGGAATGGCTCCTTAAACCAGCTACCAAAACCCATGCTGTTTCTGTTCCTGCCAGATATGCAGCGCTGCATTGTAATACACTCACCAGCCTTTGGATATGTAATGACATATGGTATCTCTGAAGTGCTTGATGCTTCTTGGCTAGAAGGACCAGAATTTATGTTTTTCTAATCCCTTTTTTAAGAAAGGGGGGAAGGAGGGGAATAAGAGAACTTGGGGGGGGAAAAAAGGCAATCAAGAAAAAAGGAATATTTTATCTTGTCTCTTGTGTCTCTGGTAGTATTTGCCTTGTGAGAAGAAAATCATGCTCTGGACTGATCTTATTGAAATGGCCTTTTCAAACTTTGTTCCATTTTAAAGCTAATACTTGTTCTTTACATGCTCAGTGTGACCCTGATCCACAATCAGAGATAGTTTATTAGTAGCTTGTTAAGAACCTTTTAAGTGCTTCTACAAAGCAGGAGGAACTGTAATGATTTACAGTAGCAATAGTCTCTTACTGAGCTATCGTAAAGGGAGTTAATGTGTTCATAGAAAAATCTCCAATCATGCTTTAAAAAGTAGTGCCAAATTACCACCAGGCCACAAAATATTGAATAGTATTTTCTCATTCCCCAGTTTTCAGTCATCGCTGTTTTTCACATAGACTCACAGAGAAACTACGCTGAAGTATGTTAAATTCAACAGATGTCTACTGACTAAAAACCTGGATGCAGTTCAGAGAATGCCTGCTTAAAACGGTGTGCTGGCACTTGCAATTCATTCATTTTCTGAAAGGGGCTTAAGTGAAACCAATACCGATAGGCATTAATGGAGAGGTTTGATTTGATCCTTTATGAGCTATAGGGGAAAAGCTCCATCAGTTTCATTCCTTGAAGTTTAAGGAGTGGCTCTACATCATTCGGTACATAACTGTGAGATGGAAAGTTCAATGATTTCCACATCATTATGACATTATAGAAATACTTGAAAATGTGATCTTTTTTAAGTAAGACGCCAATACCTTTAATAACTCTGGGGAGCGCTTCATCCCCTTATCCAACTGCTTTAAAAGAAGTTGAAGTATTTGCAAACTAGAATCTAGATTTAAACTAACCTTTGAAAGATAGCAAATAATAAAACAGCTTACCTGCAAACTTGAGCTTTCTTTGTAGTATTATTTCACTGGATGAATAACCTCTCACCCTAAGGTAACAGCTGTATGCCTTTGGAGGGAGCTGTAGTTTACTCATCTTTAAAAATGCAATCCACTTTCTCTGGTGTAATATTATGAATCTTCTGGCAACACAAGCACTCATCTCGGGCAGGCTGTTTCCAGCCTATTCGCCATCAGCTCCTCCAACTAAAATATTCTGTTCCTTACCTTGCTGTGAAGTCACAGTCAGAGAGCGCTCTATCGTTTAGTGCCAAAGTAGCTGAGAAGTAACCCCAAGACAAGGGTATGATGCTAACGCTTCTCAAGTATAAAATCTAAAACCAATATTATTTTCTCAATACTAGAATATTACAGCAGGGTAAACATGAAATTAGGTATTGGACTTGAGAGGGAAAACTGAAATTGTTTCTATGAGATGGGGTATCTCGCAGAAAGCCAACTGGTTGTGGAATGGCTGATTTAAAGATATCAGAACATCAATTTTTGGCTCTTTTACGTGTTTTTGTTTGTTTTTTTATCAGCCACTTTACCCAAATTTAATAGTGGCAAGTAAACCACTTTGAAATATAGCAATTCGCAGAAATAAAAAAAAATCCAAGCTTAAATTCAGCCGTAGTTTATAGCTGTTCATTGGAACTTCTGTGAAGTCTCAGTAGTAAAATAACACACCAAGAGAACAGGTCTGCTGGAGCTCTGTATGGACTAATTCAATAGCTACAGCTGAGGTTTTGAATCACACTTGCACAGTGACTCATAAGTTATACTCTCCTGTCCCAATTGGTTCTTTGCACCTGAAACAAAATTACTTCCCTTCAAGTTAAATCAAATAAAATTCCTTTACAGGGAAAGGACGCAAAGATGTATGATACATACCTGGAAGTCTTAGCAATATCTTTTTTTCGTTTTTCTTTTTTTGTGATGGTTTTTCCAGGGTTTTATACATTACTTGTACATGACTTTTATGCTTGGCAAAAACTGTCGCTTTCAAAGCTGTAGGAGCTAGCTGAAGCACAGATCTTAAGTGGAAACAGCCATCTGAGTTGCGTGGTAGCTCCTGGCTGACGTTATCCTTGATTATATCCTCCTCCAGTAACCGCTGGGTTGGAATCACTTCACAAAGACAGGTGTTTTTTGGACTCCGGCTCACTCGGCCTAAGAACAGTATCTGTGGCTTTTAGAAAACCTACATAATCAAAAGAACCAGATACAGTGTTTGCTAGTGCTAGATAAGCAGATAAGAATGTGAAAAGGAGGTCAAACTCATTTATCAAGCTCTTCACAGCCTTGGTGTTTATATATTTGAGTATTTATACAGGAAGCACGTTGCAGTCTCACTGAGGAATACAATAAGCATGAGATGTGATGTTCTTTAGACAGCTTAAATACTAACGTCTAGTCCTCTATATAAGAAAGTGTACGTGTAATTTAGTAACTAAACAGCTAGAGGGCTTCTGTAACAAAATGTGTAATTACATGTTTTCCTTGGAAATTAATCTGACTTATGACATTTGTCAGCTAGTCCTTCTCACGGTCCCCCAAGCAGCTACACCAGCACAACTGAAAAGGTGCTGAATTATGGAGTGTGAGCACTTTCTCTGCAAACAATCTACTTTCTGGTAAAGTATCAGTGTCACACTATTCAAAATATCTCCTCAGGAAAATACTTCATAAACTCCAATAACTATGTCTTTCCCATATTTTGTAAGTTTCTTAAAAACTCTTAAATCCTTTCAAGTCTGGTGAAGGGATCTGGCTCCGTGATTTCAAGGGGAAATACAGATACTGCAGACACTTGAAATTCCCAAGCTAGCTCTAGTTCACAAACTCAGTCTGGACCTCCAGCTAGATTTAAATATGCATCTGGATTTTATTTATTTATTTATTTTTGCATGCATTGGCTTGCAAGTGCAGAGCTGTGTAGGGTGTTTCAAATCGGGAGAAAATGTGAATCAGACCTGGGTGGGATGACTTTTTATTTTTTAATGCTTAATTAAGATAGCTTGTGACAAAGCCTGTGAAACTTCACCAGGAGTAGCGCTTTTGCTCTTCCTTAGCATCAGCCATCTTAAAACTCTGTGCTTCTATGGATGTAAAGCTGGATGGCCAGGACATAGCCACCTTCTCTGGGGAAGTGGTTTCCAAATGTCTTAAATAGCATCTACCAAAATGTTTTGCATCCTCTTAGTTTCTGAGGAAAATGACCATCTGTTAGAGAATTGAGTGTGTGTGCTATGATGATCATGTAGAAAAATTCCTAGTGTTACTAGGAGCTATCCTGTGTGATCACACAGGTACAGTTGTGTATTCATGTGAGGGTGTCTGAGGTAGAAGAAAGGATTGTCACAACTCTGGGCTGAAGAAACACCCACCCTTGTCACAGCAAGATAAAAATTTGGGAGTCCTAAAGTGGACCATGGGGCAGGAAAAAAACTTGTTTTAACACAAGCTGTAGTCCTACCAATTTGTAAATCCAGACAGCTACTGTCTTCCAGAAATTAAATGATCTCTTTCACATGTATCTGTGGATCCTTCTGATCTTTTAGCAGAACTGCTGCTGCTCTTTTCAGCATTACATTGCATGTTACTCGGAAAGTAACCCTGCGCCCTTCTCTCTCGGGGATAACTTTTCATAAAATGACTTACTTGTTTAGGATGAAAGCCCAAAATCTGGAAATTCAAAGCAGCTTCTTCCAAATGCTTCATTTCTACACTTCCTTTGAATGCTACTGTTTTTGGAGTAACTGTAAGGGGATTGAGGGGAAGAAGAAAGCCATTTATTTCTAGATGCACGTGCTATTACAATGAATAGCAAAGAGAAATAAAGGCTCAGTGTTGTCCCTCTCCACAGGAGCTACCTGCACCCTGCATG